ATGAAACCCTCAAGAAGTGCCAGTTACCAAGCAAAGTGGCCACTTCCTCTTAGCGTGAACGCCACAGCAGTGCAGCACCTCAGGGTGAAACCCCGCCGGCCTAAAGCCTAAGCGGTTGGGTTGCATAGCGGTTAAAAGCTGGGAATGAGGAAGGGAAATGTGCCACAGCCCAGCCTCCCACTCCAGACAAGCCAGCCTACAGGCTGCAACAATGAGCACAATCCTAGAGCTGCTAGTGCAGGGGGCCTGAGCCACTGACTTCCTGTGAACCCTGATTCTACCCTTCCCCTGCCAGCCTCTTCACTGCCTCCTCTTCAGAGCAGCATGGCTGTCATGGAGACCCTCCTCCCTGGTGCCCAGGGAGTGCAGAGTGGCCAACACGCCAAGGGGAATATCCTTACTGCAGTAACCTTCACCATTCCTCCCCAGGGTTTATTAATAGACATGCTCAACTTTTCTAATCTGAATATTTTAGGTGCTAATTATCTGGGGCCTGCTCTGGCACCCAACCCACTGAAGTCATTGATAAAAATTTCCTTTGGCTTCCATGGGAGCAGAATCAAAACCTTTGTTTAAATACCTGGAGTGGAGAGTGCACCGGTTTGAGGCATGATCCTGCAGTCCTTACTCAGGTAGAATTTTTTTTTTTTCATTTTTCAATTGAAATTCCATTGATCAAGTCATGACCCAGTGAAATAAGTCATACTGCTAAAATATCCCTGTGTAGGAAGGGGCTACTAATAATATTCTGTAATAACGTTTAACTTTTTAAATAACTTTTAATAACTTTCTGTAATAACTTTTTTGATCATCCATTGAAAGTCTACAATGCAGTTCAAGCAGATGTTTCACCTGAATAAGGACTGCAGGATCAGGGGTCTAAGAACATATGTCTTGCAAATGTCATGTGTTTGAAGTCCAAGCTGTTTTTTAATGATCACACAGAAAGACACCCTGAGTGATGAATGCGGGTGTGTGTGTCAGCTATTTTCTCCACCTGCAAATTAACGCTTTTGCACTTGGAGTCAAAAGTCTTCTTGCCAGAAAAGGTTAGAGCCAGGGAGTTTTAAAATAGCCAGACAGACTTTTAAACCAAGTTTCTCAAAAAGAAACACGTTCCTGGTCTGAGGCCCTGTGGGCCAGGTTTCAGAGCGAGTATGAACCAGTGATTGCAATAGAAATCCCACCACTCCCTTGGCTACAGCAGCACCAACACACGAGCCGCACACATTTGTATAGGGGAGAAAAAGAGGCAGACAGTTGTCATTGCCCTTTTGAGTGATATGGGCTTTTCACCGTATTCCCTTTAAATGGTCTAAGTCTTTCCTATGTTTGCTAAATTGCGGCAAACTGAGTTTTTTGCAGCATGGGAGTGACAGTCACCCAAACGTGCTTTTTAGTAACAACAGGCCTTTGCCAGGTGAACGTACACCCCTGTGCATGACAGAAGAACACACTCATGTCTTGTCTACACACTAACTAGAAGAGAAACAGCTAATTTGGTTTTAATTCTCATCTTTAGTTATTTTGGTGGAAGTTTGTGTGGGACACATTTCAGAAGAAAAATGTTCCTATTTTAATTTAATGTAAGGTGATAAAAAAAATCAACTTCAGCTAAACCAAAATAGGACACTCTTAATCCAAAATAAGACTGTGTGCATGCAAATTTGGATTGAAATAACTAAAGGCGTGAATTAAAACTGGTTTACTTAGTTGGAACAAGCTGGAGAGAGTACAACCGATTCATTTTCTCCCAGCCATCTTCTGCCGTTGCCATTTACAGAATGCGAACACAACTGAAGTCAATTAAGATAAAAGATTTACACGGCTTCATCCTCTGGCGTGTTTGACTGCCCACTCAGTACAAGACATAGTGTTATTCTGGATATCATCTTTCATACCAGCCTCTCCAAAATCCTTTCCAGAGTTAGACACTAATATGATTCCCTGGAGAACGTGGTATATGTTTGGGTTTGTCCGCCTAATAATGGATTGGGTTTTTGAAGAGATAAACATTTATAAAGACCCACCTACACCCCATACACACATTATTAAAGCCATTGGGCCAGATGCTGGGGTACAGGAATAATACACAAGGCAGGACAGTAGGTGGTGTTTAAAGCTCTCCTGCACTCAACTGATCCTGGGGTTGTTCTGTGCATGACATTCCAGGCATGCTATGTTACAGCAACCTAAGCAAACCACATCCTCCCTCTCCCATTGCCCTGACAGGGTAAGTGAGGCACAGGAAGGCAGGCCAGGCAATGACTGGGGGCAGAACTCTTGAATCCTAATATCTTAGTTCAAACAATAGGGCTTCTTTAAACAGGGTATTGCTGGTTTCAGATTGGAAGGAAATAGGCCATTGGTTATAATAGAAGACCCTGAGGCTGGTCCAGTGGTTAGAACAGAGCCTAGGACTTAGGAGACCTTCATCCAAGTGCCTGTTCTCATGCAGATTCCCAGGGTGACTTGAGCAAGTCAGTGTATGTCAGTACCACACCTGTAACCTGGGAATAAAAATAACGCCTCTCTGCCTCACAGGGATGCTATGAGATGCAAAGGTAGTGAGGCGATGGGAACCACGTACATATCTTCCATAGAGAGACACTGACTGGGGCTGTCCTCTCTGTAGGATTGAGGAGAAAAGAGTTGGACTACTCCTGTCATATCTCCAGTGTTTTGACTTTCAGTCTTCCCCCTCCACCCATCATTCCTCCTTTCCTCCCTACTCCCTTTCATCTCTGTCCTTCCCCCACCCCTTCCTTTCAGGCAGTGGTTCTCAACCAGGTGTCTAGGGCCCAGGGGGGTGCCCTGAGCTGGTTTCAGGGGGTCTGCCAAGCAGGGCAGGCATTAGACTTGCTGGGGCCCAGGGCAGAAAGACAAAGTATGGGGCTGAAGCCCTGGCCCCAAGCCCTGCCACCAGGGGCTGATGCCAAAGCCGGAGCAACTCAGGTTTGTGGGGCCCCCTATGGTGTGGGGCCCAGGCACGTGTCCTGCTTGCTACCCCCTAACGCCGGCCCTGGCTTTTATATACAGAAAAACAGTTGTTTGGCACGGGCGGGCGTGGAGTTTTTATAGCATGTGATAGGCTCAGAAAGAAAAAGATTGAGAACCCCGGTTGTAGGGGGACTCTTCCAAACTTTGCACTTGTTCCAATCTGCAACCTACTGGAGAAGTTTCAGTTCCTGCCAGTTTGCAGCTTCTTTTCGCCCAGGTCAGCAAAAAAATTCAGACCTCAGAGATCAACACCCCACCCATGCGATAGGCATCTTTCGAAATCCTCCAACCCAAACACACCCACAGCGTCTCTCGCTTCAAGTCGAGTCTGCTGCAACTGCTTCTGCGCTGCAGAGCGAAATTAAAAAAAAACGGTCCGAGAGAGGATCACGAATTTGCACAAGTCCCTTTGCAGCAACTCTGCCTGCAATAATAGCTGCTATGTGTGGGCCTGATCCTGTCTCACAAGGGAGTAAGGACTGACCTTCCACCGCATATTGCAATGGCCATGGCTTAGGAAAGCACAGGAAGATTTTGGTGGTGGTCTTTTTGCCACGGGAGAGAACGGTTTCTGTTACACCCACCCTCGACTAGAACGGCTAGGGAAATAGACCGCCGGCCACCTTCGGAGCGCGGCGTTTCAACCAGACCTGGCAAAAAGTGAGGAAATCAGAACCTGTTGACATCTAACCATGGGGGGGAGAGCACATTTGGGGCGAGCCTGGGAGCCGATCCCCTGCGCCAGCCCCTGGTACTTTTAGTTTGTGCTGAAAATAAGACGCGCTTTTCTGTCCCCCTCTCCCCGGCGCTTCTCAATCCAAAGTTCAACCCAACTGAGCGCAAAGACCGGGTGCGTCTCTTCCATTGGTGCGCAAGTGGCGCTGGGGAGAAAACTGTCATTGCTTCTGGCGGCGCAAGGGTGGCTTGCTTCTCAAACCAGCAGGCAGGCCAAGCAGGGACTGAGACCTCCTCCCGAGAGCGCGGGGCTGGCTCCGCATCGCTCAGCCACATCGCCAGCTACCCGGGGGCCACGCACACCCAGCCCCTTCCTGCAGGCGTGGGCTTTTCCCTGCAGCGATCTGACAGCCCCCTCCAGGCCCAGGGGGGAGCCCGCCTTTCCCAGCCGGGGCAAATGCCCCGAAATAAACGGATCGCAAGTCAGATACACCCCCACCCACCCACGTACACACACCCCGCCGCCTCCATGCCTTGCCCCAGCCGTGCGCATTGTGGCCGGGGGACACCCGCTGCGCGCTGGCCGGCCAATACCCTCCCAACCGCGACCTCCCGCAGCCCTAGGAAGGGGATAGACAAGGAAAGCGTGAAAGGGGGAGGCTGGCTGAAAGAGGAGAAATGGGCCACTCTTCCTGGGATCAATGCTTGAACAAGATCAAACTCCCCCCGCCTTCCCCCGTCCCTCCCCCAAATGCACACTGCTCCAAAACGCAGCCCTCCCCCACACCCTCCTGGAGTGGGGGCTGTCTCCTCCCCACAACCGCCCCCTCTGATCCCCCCCCGTCGACCCCCGATATTCCTCTTACTTTAATAGTTCCGTCCATCGAGAATAATCTCCAGCCGATTCCACCAATATTCCACACATTGACCCGGTTTAGCCTGGAACCGAAGCCCCCTGAAGTTCTTATCTTCCTTCCTTTCGCGCTGGCTTTTCTTCCCCCCTTCCAATGATTTTACTTTCCTTTCCTTCGCTCGCTCGCTCTTTTTTACTTTTGGTTGGTGCAGTGGAGCGAAAAAGAGACAGTTAACCGGATGAAACTTTTTTTTCTGCTAATTTTGGGAAGTGAAGTCACTTGAGGAGGAAACATTCTGTCTCCCCGCTGGTCCTGCCTTCTCGATTAAAATATATCTGTATTTTACATCCAGGATATTTGCTCCATTCAGATAAGAGCGGGGCAGAACAATAGCGGTTTCTTTGGGGGTAGCTCTTGTTTGCTAGCCCAGTTGAGCTCCGCTTCGCAGCACAGGCTGCATTACCACGCACTGAGTGTCATCATAAAGTTTAGTTTAACATGTACTTTTGTGTGTGTGTGTGTGTGTGGCTGAAGCCAAGTAGCCTGAGTCACTGAATTTCCATCTCTTCCCACAGTATTTTTTTAATGCTTTTTCCAGTCAAAGGCAAAATTAAGGGGGGGGGAGGGAGGGACGACCATGAATATAATTCAGACTGGGGCACACAGGAAAAGATTACCGATTAAAATGGTCTATTTAGAACACGCTGCTGTCCCCCTCCTGCAGTCCTTACTCAGGCAAGGATCCCAGTGAGTTTGGCCTGAGGGAGGGAGGCTAGATTAGGTGCTAGCTATAACCAGAAAATAGCGGTGAGCATAACTCAGGGCAGGCAACTCCATTCAATTTAAGCATGTCAAGTGCCTTCTTCCATTCAGATACAATTTTGGTGCCTTTCCAAACAAGGGAACTAGGAGTTCCCTGTAGTTTTGAAAGGAACATTATTTTTAGAAAACTTTTTTTTTGCATTGCTTTCTCACCCCTTTAAAAGAAAACGTCCCGTGAAATCTTCCACTACGTCGAAGTAAGTATACTGTGCTTTTAAAAAAAAGGGGGGGGGGCATTTAAAATAGTGCATTACAGTAAGATGGGTTCAATTATTCGACTATATCTATATTTAAAGCCATTTAATTTTTCCCCATCAGTATTAACATTTGAAATATTTATTGACCCTCAGGGTCTGGCCCAAAGCCTCGTGGAGTCAAAGGGAGACTGCCCATTTCATTGCAATAGGCTTCGGATCAGGGCCCCAGTCAATTTGCCCCGCTATCTCCGGCGAAAAAGCCACGGGTCACTAGTTTACTAACCGGAAAGTGACAAAAATAATAACAGCAAATAAAATTCCAGACCTGTCCCGAGTCCCCCTCTACCTCCCGGCTGTGGCAAATTTGGGGGGGCGGGGGACACACTCCTCAATCCTTCTTCGGGAACTAAAAAGTAGATGACAACAGATGCAACATTTCATCCAACTAGAGAGAGAGAGCGTTGATCCCAAAGAAAAGGCCATTTATATCCTCTTCTAAACAGTACATCCAAACAAACAAACCAAGCTTTTGAAAAGCTCTCTAAACAATCAAGGTAAAAGAGACACACACTCCTTTCTACCCCCTCTCCCCTCCAAAAAAACCCCAAGCAAAACCATCTAGCAACAGGATCATGCAACATGTCTGGCATCTTTTTATTCCTCACTTCTGCAATGCAAGCTGCTGTAGCCCAAGGAGAATCCGAAAGCTAAAGACAGTAATTCAGGGAGATGGAACCAAGAAATCCATTTCAAGGTAGGACACTCCTGTGAGTCCTTTCAACATAATTTCCCCCTTATGGAGTTGGTTACCTTATCCAGTGCAGTTGCGTCCAGTCTTTTGCTTCCCCCCTGATTTTTAATCCAACCACAGGGGGGGAAAAGTCACACCTCTGTCCACATTAATGTGCACCCCCCAAAATAACAAAATGACCCTCGTGTTTCTAGTCGGCTGCAGCCGAGGCGCTTTATTAATACTTTATTTCTCTGGCAGCACAGCAGACCCCTCTTGCCCCTCCCTCTAACCCCCCGCGAAATTAGCCTCATCAATTCAGCTACAATTTTCAGTGCAGAGGCAGAGACAGGGGGACTGAACGTGATCAGACCTGGAGCTTTTGGGCTTGCTGTTTGCTAGCGACTGTGGCCGTCTCCAGCCAGGAGGGGAAAGGGGGGGGGATCGGCAGGAGAGGGGACCGACCGACCGCCTTCCCTCTCCCCTCCTACCCCCCCTCCCGTCTGCTTTACAATCCAGGGGTCTGCAGTGGTGTCCCCTGAGAGCAGCACATCTGGATACAGCTAGCGAGGTCAGGTCCCCCTGTGCCTAGGGCCACAAGAACTGGAGTTCAATTAAAAGAAATCACGGTTAACCCTTTGCTTCCCTCATTCCCCATTTCATTCTTCCCCCACCCCGCCCTCAAATTAAACACCAAAACCTCTTTCCTCCACTTCCCCTTCAGTATCACCACATGGGAGCCGCTAGCTCCAGAAAAGCAAGAGGTTAAGGAGAAGAATGAAACGCATCCTCCCAAAGCCCAAATTATTTCCTTTCTGGGCAACATTAATACCAACCTCTAAACAGTAACGGTGGGGGTACGGTCAGACAGAGGATTTATACCCCCTAAAGGGCGCTAGAAAGTGTCTATGTCACCCAACGACCAAGGAAAAGGCGCTTGGGTCTTTAAACTGAACTATGGACTCCTCTCTTTGATGGGCTAAAGGCTGGAGAGAGAGGATGATTCTTCAGAACTGCAGTGAAAAAAAATCATCTGAAATGTACAAAATATATTAAAAACAATCGGAAATTTACGAACACTGAGTCCTGGTGATAGCGCCATCTCCAAGGTGACAAGATATAGCAAATAAACTCATGCACACTTTAAAAATCATTTTGGATCCCAATTTCTGTAAGAATATAGACAGTACTCTCTCTCTCTCTCTCTCTCTCACACACACACACACACTTTAGAGATGTGTTTTGGTTCTCAATACATGAGCATTTAACTGCAAAAAAACTGAAATATGATACCACAGCTATTTCCTTAGAAGTGACTTAAAGAAAATGAGTCAAATTGAAGCATATTAGGGCTGCCTGATAGATTGGATCTATAATTTATATACACTGTTTTGTCATCCACTCCCCCTCCTACTCCCCACCCCCCATTTCCCTTCTGTTTGGTCTTAAAAAAAAAAGTTTGGTGAAAAGTCCCAAGAGACAAAATAAGCGAACCTGTAAAACATTAAACCAGACAAGTTGAACACACTATTATTTCCCCAGAATAATGCAACAAAAGACGTTTTGCTTCCTGACTTTCTCTAACCCCCACCTCCTGAACTTATCTCAAACTTTTGAAAAAGGCTGGGATATTCATAAACGTGGTTTGCCAAATTCTGGATCATCCCAATTGATGTGCACCGACTCGGATTTAACAGTTTGATAGAATCGGTGCAAGGGGAAAGAAATCCCAAATAATGAATAAAATAATAATAATAAAGGATGTGATATCCTTAACGTTTAATATTTGAATGCCCAGAGAAAGGCAAAAGTTATTTCAAAGTGAAATGCTTGTGTACAATTCTGGCAAATGTGTGTAACGTTTAATCTGATGCTCGACTTTTTGGTGCACAATTATAGAGAGAAAACAATTCTGATTTTTTAACTCAAGTTACTGACAACTGGGAAATTATTTGATCTTGGCACCTACAATAGTTTTTACCTTAACAGATTTCAAATGTTTGCATTCAGGCAGGTTAAACGATTTGTTCGCACTCTCTCCTCTCTCTCAATACACTTATGAAAGAAACGAAATTCTAGTCTAAAGTATTGAGTTAAATGTTGCTCATAATCTCCTGGCATTTTTCCCCTTTATCCTTTAATTGAATCACACAGAGTTCGGCCTCACACACATAGGAGGTGGATACTCATCCCTGAGTGTAACCCTACTGAAATCAATGGGGGTATACACCAGGCTGGAATTTGGCCCATGATATTTAGCCTAAAATATCCAACATCAAAGGAGTTAACGGCACGTTATAGTCCAATGCCAGTCTTTCGCATGGGGAGATACCCGCAAATGTGTATTTGTGTTTTTGTCTTTGATTTATGCAGAAATATTTTGGCCACAACTTCAAACTTTGTATATTTCTTTTACATCTACTTTTTCTTCAAAGGTGAACTAACGATCGCAGCATATTTGGGCCTGAGCGGCGGGTTTGAAAGCGTGTAGGGTATTAACTTGCATGAATCTATCTTGTTGCCTGTAGTAATCAGACAGTATCACCTTGTGTTCTGGCTAAGAATGCAAGATTTTGAGCTCTTTCGTCATTTTGTAGCAAATGAAAGAAATCGGTTAGCAACTGGTCAGTCAGCCCCCTTTGACTCTGTACCTAGAAAGCGGCCCACTTCCCACAGATTGTGTTAAAAGTTCCTCTTAAAAATAAGTCCTAGATCTGCATCAGCAGAAGAGGGGGAGGGGAGGGAGGAGGGAGAGTGGGGCTTGATCCTGCTGCAATCCTACCTAGAGAAAAAGGTCCCGTCGACTTCAATGGGAGTTTTAGGGTTGGGTTGCGATGTGACACTAACTTCACTGCAGAATTAAAAGGCGAAGTGTTTTTAACATCCACTTTCTTACAAAGCAAAGAAGGAAAGCCAAGCCTAGGGCCCGATCCCCAGGCAAGACTCCCATTCGAACCCAGGGGCCAAAATTCTGCGCTCAGCTACTTGGGTAAAATCTGACTACTTTGGAATCCCTCCAGATTTCCACCCATGTAACACAGCAGTGGAGTGCAGGATCGGGTCCCAGGACCCATAGCTCTTGCTGAATAGGAACGAATACTTGGAAACACAAGTCCTAAAAAAAGGGGGTGTGTGATGCTAATAAACCCTTAACTAAAATCTAGTGTCTTGGAAGTTGTGTGGAGAAGATACAGGGTAGCTTTGAAGCTAGCACACAATTGTGCAGAAAGGTGGTTAAACTGTCCTGGATGGTTTTATTTGAGAGCCATGTCCCAATAATCCAGTCCCCTTCCCTTGCCTCCTCTCCCCGCCAACCAAACCACCCCACAATTATTGAAAAGTTAAGCACGAAAAAAACAAAAATACTGAAGGCCAAAAACACAGACTGCAGCGCACCAGCTCAAAAGTCTGGCCCCTCGCTTGAGGCCATAATTAATTTGAGATTTATTTTTATTGGAGAACTCAGTCTCGTCTGACCTTAGCCAAACAGACTTCAGCTAGACCCTTGATGCGCTTGAATGGAACAGAATATTTCTCTCTAACTTCTCTTCGGGCGTCCGTGCCTGCTTTGAATTTGTTCCTCAGACTTCAGATATTTGGAGATTTGAAGAAAAGATTTAAAGCATTCCCCCGCCCCCTTTAACATCCACTTTTTTTTTGACACAGTGGTTGGGAGGATGCAGAGGGGGCTAGAATACAAAATGCATATTCAGAGAAAGAGAGAGGGGTGGGTT